CCAAGGCCCAGCCAAGGCTCAGGAACGGGCGGCAACGCAACAATCTCTGAACACCAAGGCTCCCAAGAGCGAGGGGTGACGTAACAAGCTCTCAACGCCAAGGCTCCCAGTACGAACGGTGGTGTGAGTAATTTCGGTTTCTGTTTCTGAAGCGCTCTTTCCGTTTCTGTGCCGGGCCAGGTAACGGAAAGAGCGAGGTACGAGTGATGACGTTTTGGTGTGGGCGAAGCCCAAAACGGAGGGGTTCCAGGGGAGGGGGGTAGCGTGCCCAACTGCGTGTTAATTGCCGTTTTCGGGTTTTCCCTCGGGTTTTGCATGTTTTTCGGGTTCCCCCCCAAGACGGCCCAAGAGCGCTCCAAGAGAGCCCAAGACCGCCCAAGACAGCCGAAGAGACCCCCAAGAGGGCTCCAAGAGGCCCCCAAGACCGCCCCAAGACGGCCCAAGAGGCTCCCAAGAGGCCCCCGAAACGGCCCAAGAGGGCGCCAAGACGGCCCAAGAGGCGCCCAAGACGGCCCCAAGAGGGGGACCACGAACCGAAAAGTCTAGCCTGTCGCCCCAAGAAGCTCCCAGGAGGCCCCCAGAGCCCCCCAAGAAGCCCCAAGAGGCCCCCAAGAGGTTCCCAAGAGGCCTCCAAAAGGGCCCGACAAGGGCCCCAATAGGACTCCCAAGAAGGCCCAGAGACGCCAAATAGAGAGCGATAACGCAAAGAGCTCTTCACACCAAGGCTCCCAAGAGCGAACGGTGACGTAAACAAGCTGATAAGACCAAGGCTCCCAGCAGAGAGCGGTGACGTAACAAGTTCCTGACACCAAGGCCCAGCCAAGGCTCAGGAACGGGCGGCAACGCAACAATCTCTGAACACCAAGGCTCCCAAGAGCGAGGGGTGACGTAACAAGCTCTCAACGCCAAGGCTCCCAGTACGAACGGTGGTGTGAGTAATTTCGGTTTCTGTTTCTGAAGCGCTGTTTCCGTTTCTGTGCCGGGCCAGGTCTAATGGCTTTCGGCCCGTCCCGCCACCGTGCCTGGGTTGTGGGTCATAGGCCTTTTGGATGTTCGTTGGGATGCCTTGGGAGGCCTCTCGGGGGCCTCTTTAGGGCCGTTTTGGGGCCTCTTGGGGCGTCTTAGGAGCCTTTTTGGGCCTCCTGGAGGCATATCGGGGCGAAAATGCCCAATTGTCGGTTCGGAACCGTCTTGAGGCTCCCTTGTGCCGTCTGGGGCGCCTCTTGCGCCGTCTTGGGGCCCTCTTGGGCCGTCTTGGGGCTCTCTTGGGGGCCTGTTGGGCATGTAGGCTCCATGTTGGACGTATGCGTTTTTTGTCTCTTGGGAGCCCTCTTTGGCCTGTCTTCAGCAGCCTTCAGGCTATCTTGGGCGTCTTGGGCCGATCGTCCGGCGATTCGGGGCCCTCTTGGACCGTCTTGGGCGCCTCTTGAGGCCCTCTTGGTCCGTCTTGGCGCCCCCTTGGGCCCGAGAGAGTCGTGCGGGAAGACGCGCTGGAGCCCGGGGGGGCACGCGGGAAACCCCAGGAGATTTGAGAGCCAAGGTCAGGGCCCCACACAGAATCCCTCCGGAGTCAGGGGCTGCGCCAGGGATCCGGGGACACTCCACCCCGCGACCCCGTGCCGCAGGGGCACGGTAGCAGACACCTCGAGACCCTCCCAGGACCTCTTGCGCAGGATCTGTGTCCGCCCCCGGCTCCCCGAGCTCCCCACCACCGGGTATCTGCCTAGGTTTGGAGTCCCGAAACGGTGCGGTGACAGACCGTGCGGTGACCTCGAAATCCCCCAAGACCTCACCGCACGGTCCGTCAACGTACGGTTTTGGGACCTCGGATGCCCCTATCGCCCGAGACGTCCTCGGAGAACGACCCGAGTCCCAAAACCGTGCGGTGACCCCGAATCCCCACAGACTCACCGCACGGTGTGGTCACCACACCGTTTTGGGGCCCCCGACTAGGGACGACGGGGATCTCGAGGACATTAGGGGGGCTGTTCCGACGCATCGCTGTCGGGGATGGGCGCTCCCCGTCGCACATTTCCTGCCAGCAGTCCCACGAGGTTGGGGACTGGGGCCGCCATTTCTGAGTTGCTCTCCCTACTCCTCCCTGCTCCAATCTTTTTCTCCCCCCCCTCCTTCTTCCTTCTCCTTCCTCCTCCTCCCTCTCTTCCCCCCTCCTTCCAAGCCAGCCACAACTGTGGAGGACTTGCAGGTTTGCGTAGAGGTTTCATCCTGGCCACCTTTTTTAGCATGGAGCGCCCCCCCCCCCCCCACACAGCACACAGGTGCCCTGGGCTGGAGCCCCCCGCCGCGCCCCTCCCGTGGGCCTCCCGCGGGCCTCCCGAGCGTGCCCGCTCGTTTGCGGCGGACATTGCGCTGCCACCGTGGCTGCCAGGAGGCCCCGTCCGAGCGTGACCACTCGCTTTTTCGCCCCCCGCCGTGGCGGCCAGCGTCTCTCTGCCAGGCAGCTCACCCTGAGCGTGCCCGTCGGCTTGCGGCTCACGTGCCGCGTCGCCGGCGCTTTGTGGACAGGAAGTTTTCGGGAGCCTCGAGACGGGGGTCAGCCAGGGCACCGCATCCTGCAGGATCCTGCGAAGACCCCCTTTGGCTGACCCGGGTTAGCGAGCCGCTCGTGGCCGCGAGGCGGCCGCGCCTGTTGGCTGACCCGGGTTTGCGAAGACCTGCGTCGCAGTTTTTGTTGCATTGTAGTTTTTGGTTTCCTGCTGACCCGGGTCTGGATTGACCCGGGTCAGAAGATCCCCGAAGTTTTTGGCAAGAGGCTCGCTCCGAGCGTGCCCCCGCCCCCCTGCGGCAGCCACCGACGCTGCCAGGAGCCAGGGCTGGACCTAAAGGCTGTGTTGCTGGACTTCTTCTGTTCTTTGTTGTTCGTCTTGGCAGGGAGGTACAGGAAACAGGCAGAGCAAAACGAAGAGCAGAGCGACAACAACACAAGAAACAACGTTTAGGACCAGCCCTGCCAGGAACAAGGCCAGGAAACTCTTCGCGAGCGTGCGAGCACGCTGACGGCGCACACCGCGGTCGCCGGCGCTGTTGCCAGGACGCTCTCCACAGGAAGCTTACTCCGAGCGTGCCCGCTCCCTGGCGGCTCGCCCTCCCCCACGCCGGCCTTCTGCGGCCTCGAGCAGATCTCATCGTTGGCTGTCCTTCCGGCCGCCAGGACAGGGGCCCTCCTCTTCTGCTTCCTCCTCCTCCTCCTCCTCCTCCTTCTCCTCCTCCTCCTCCTCCTCCTGACTCGTCCTCCTCCTCTGCCTCCTCCGCCTCATCCTCTTCCTCCTCCTCCTCATCCTCCTCCTCCTCCTCCTCCTCCTCCCTCCTCCTCCTCCTCCTCCTCCTCCCCTCTCCTCCTCCTCCCCCCCCTCGCCGCCGGGCCCCCCCTCTTTCCTGCCCCCCCCTTTCTGCGCAGGTGGAGCGGCCCCTCGCCTTCCTCTGGGGATTGTGTGGCCCCCTCGCGGCGGGGGGGGGGGGGGGGAAGGGGGGGGGGGGGCGCACGCGAGGACGGGGTCCCTCCTCTCTGCTCCCTCTGTTCCACTTCCTCGTGTTTCGACTCGATGCGGGCCTCAGGGTTGATCTCAGCGCTGCCCCCTCCCGCAGACAGGTGCAGGATAGGGATGAGGACGCGCCATTGGCGCCGTCGATGGGGCATTCTCTTTTTTCTCTCCTCATTCCTGCCTCTCCCATGCCTGCCACAATTAGGGAGGCTGCCCTCCTACTCCTCCCCCCCCTCCCCCTCCTCCTCCCTACCACCTCTCTCCTCATTCCTTTTCCTCCTCTTCCTTCTCCTCCTCCTCCTCCTCCTCCTCCTTCCCCAGCCGCCTTCGAAGCAGGATGCGGCCCTCCTACTTTGCAGCGTTCTTGACACGTCCAGGACCTTTTCGGATGCTGCACAGGTGGCCCTGCAGTGAGGTCGCTCGCTGGGCACTTGTGAGATCAATGGGAAATGGAGTCTGACTACAATGGGGTCCCCTCGCTGCCAAACACTGGTGTGCTGTGGGGGGGGACTTTGCCGCTGCCATTGGCGTGCCTCCGGACTTTGGAGCCATCAGAGATGCCGCGAGATCTGTCGCCGAGCAAGCGTGTTGTTGGAACACTTTCTGGACTCGCGGCGTTCGTCCAACTTGTCACATCAACACGATTATTCGGACACATACAACAATGAACCTGACTGGACACGCGCCGAGGCAAGATGGTTATATAACAGGTGGCAGACCTACATGGCAAGTGCAAGGTCGACTGTTCGTGCAATCTAGAGCGAACCAGCTCCCGCAAGCTGCACAAGTGTTCAGCTGCTATAATCGTCAGCATCATCATCACCATCATCATCGCCGACATCATCATCATCATCATCATCATCATCATCATCATCATCATCATCATCATCACCATCACCATCACCATCACCATCACCATCACCATCACCATCACTATCACCATCAGACTCACCATCACCATCGTCATCGCCATCACCGTCAACTTCACCTCCACCTTCACCTTCACCACCATCATCTCGGCTTCACCACCACCGTCATCGTCGCCGTCATCGTCATCATCATCATCATCATCATCATCATCATCACCATCATCATCATCATCACCAACCTCATCAGCATCAGCATCATCACCATCATCATCATCACCATCATCACCATCATCATCAGCATCAACATCAGTATCCGCATCACCATCATCACTAGCAGCATCATCATCATGGGAATCATGCAGCCAAGCTGGTCGCAACCTCAATTTGAGCTATAGAAGGCACGCTGGAGGCAAGCTAACTGTGGCCTCAGCGAAGCTAATGCAAGTCAAGCTGCAAGCCGCTGGCATGCCATAGAGGAAATGCCAGAGCAAAATCGAGGCAAGCCGCAAACAAGCAACAGGCAAAATCGGGTTGAGCTCGAGGCAGAGCCCACCAATCTGCAACTCTGGTGCAACGTCTGCTGCTTGATACGTCGTCCCCAAAATTATCAAGTCGTCGGCTGTGCCAGAGGACAGGATGAGCCTCTGCGAGCTGTACCGCCTGCTCGAGGTGGTCGGCTGCCCGCTCAAGAGGCTCCAGCTTGGGAGCCCGCTGGCCATGGGGCCGCGGCCAAATTGGGGCAAATGGGGGCGTCGCTTTCCCAACCTGCGTGGCGATGCCCTCTCGCACCCGCCCCCTGCAGGTGAGCTCGCGTGTTCGGCAAAGCTCTAGACGTGCTGCCAGCGCGTGGGCCCCAAACAGTGACGCCATGCGGTATGCGGGATAGGATCTGTGTGTTCGCTATCTATGGTGCGCAATTCGTGGGCCGTAGTCTTGCGGGGCGCAGCCGATAGGGTGCAATCCATGGGGTGTAGTGTGAAGCTCATGGGGGTGTAAGCTACAAGGCGCAATCTGCGGGGTGCAATGTGTGAAGTGCAACGTATGGGATGCGACTTATGGGGCGCAGTCTGTCTGGCGCAACCCATGCGGCGCAGCTTCCAAGGCACCACCGACGGAGTACAATCCGACCCCGCTGGAGTTCACTCAGCGTGTGGGGTTCAACCCACGAGCCGGAGCATCGGACGCTGCTCGGGGTCCTGGGCCAGTGAGCCACCACTCGTTGCGTTGCTGCGGCGTGAGCGGTCCACGGTCCCGTCGGCCCTGCGGCCCTGGGCCCACGGCGGCCCCCGCGCCCGGCGGTGGAGCCGCAGGCGCCCCCCGCGCGTCCCCTCGGCCTCACGGCGGGGGCCACGCGCACCCCAGACCCGAGAGGTTCAAGTCTGCGATGGGCGTCGCGGACGGCGACGAGGCGGCCAAGGACGGCAGGCCGAGGATCGGCGGCTACCACGTCCGCCGCCAGATCGGTCCCGGGCCCCAGCGGCTGTGCTTTCGCCGATCCCCCCGGGTCCGATCTATGATAGGGCCGCGGAGGTCCACAGAGGCTCCCGTGAAGGCTCACACGGCGTTGATGCCTGATCATCGGCCGCGCGTGCGGCTGATCCTTCCCAGGAGTGACCCTTCTGCGCGGGCCCACCGGGGTCCCCCCAGCATTGGCCTGCAAGCTTTCATGTGCCCAACACGCTAACGCAATGCCCCCGCGGCCCCGCAACGCCGCACACTACAGGACACTTTTGCCTCGGATCACTCCCTGTGTGCAGCCGAGGGCACCTGATCGTGACTGTAGCCGTCGCCTTGCAATCGTCGATGCCACTGCGGTTGTCAGCCATGACATCGGAGGATTTCGCCCGATCGCATCGTCCAAGGCTTCGGTCGGCCTGGCGGTCAGCTGGGAGCCGAGGCCACGGCATCAAGGGCGTCGTGTGCTACGAGGGCGAGCGCATCACGGACGGCGCCCGGGTGGCCATCAAGTGGCCCGCGCGCAAAGCCGAGGTGACCACCCTGCAGGAGATACACCGGAAGGCTCCGAAGGACTCGCCGGGGCTCCCACGCCTGCTATCCTCTGGCGTGCACGAGCAGGAGCCCTACCTGGTGTCCGAGCTGCTCGGGTCGTCGCTCACGAGGGTGTTCCAGCGCCTGGAGGCGGGCACACAGCTTGAAGACACGCCTTGCGACCACGCCTCTTCACACGCATGGGAGAGATGGAGGAAAACAAGGTCAACTGCGCCGACATTCGCGCGTAAGGTCGCGTGTCGGCGCCCTCTTCCCAAGGCGGTGTGTCACGCTGGCGGCCCGCGTAAGCCTCGGCGTGAGGTCGCCATGCCATCATGCGTATGACCCCATTCCTTCCGTCGCTCATGTGTCCTCTCGCCCCGTGGCCGTTTTGGCCTTCGCCCTGGCGCCCAAGCATTTTTGCTCCCCTGGGCGCCCAGTCTCGGAAGCTCTCGGCCGCCGCAAGATCCGGGGCCCGGCTCCCAGGACCGCAGTCCAGGGCAACGATCGGGGGGGAGAGGCACAGCGGGGTGCGCATCGACCCCCCGTGGCCTTGATCGCCGACGGGGGCCCGAAAGCCCCCGCCCGCCCAGGAGCGGGCGGTTTCGCTAGTCCAGGTGGATGCATCCCCCCCTCGTGCCAGTCCCCCCCCCCCATCGTTGCCCCTCACCCCTGTGGTACACGGACAAAGGGGTGAGCGGTGTCTCACGTCGACGTTACTCAGAGAGACGGCTGCCTGGGCAGTGAAGAGCCCAGAGTGTAACCCAGGCTCCCTCTTGAGTCTATTCTGTGTCTGACTCCGACTGGCCGCCAAACGGATCTGGAGTGAACCCCGTGGGCGGCCGGGCCATCTTCCCACCACCCTGGTGGAATCGAGCCTGTCCAGCTGCCCATTTTGCGGCCGACTGGGCCGTAACATGAGCTCGGAAAGGGGCCCCTGCGGCAAGAGATATCTTTTTGAATATCTGGTTTGCGCATTCCCGCGTCTCGCGTCTTCGTCGTCATTTGACGGTATTCAGGAGTCAATCGCATTCCTCCTTTTTTCGCGTCTTGCTCGTCAGATTACATGTATCCTTCACCTCCTGGATACGCAGCCTGCCTGGAAGCTTCTGAGCTCAATCCCGGCCCAGCACACGCATGTGCGGATATTTGTATTGGGCGCGTGTTCTCGATGCTTTCTACGCCGCGCGCGTTGCCGCGACGATATTGATTATCAGATCTAGTTCAGTTACACTTATGTACAGAGATATGTGAATGTATCAGCATAAACACGTTTGCATTCATATATATATATATACACAATCTACACTTATATATACAGATCCAAAAGTTATAGGTTTGTTCGTGTGTATTCCTCACGCTGCCGCGTTGGGCAGGTCCCAGCTGGCGTGTCAACTCTCTGCCAGTATGCCGCACTTCCTCTACTCCTGCCGCCGTGTCGGGCAGGGCCGTCGGCAGGCGGGCCACCTCCCTGCCGTCCACGCCCGGATGTGTTGATGGAGGTATGTGCGATGAATCCTGAGCGATTCTTGAGGGCCCGGCCGCGCCCTCGCGCCTAGCCCTTCTGCTTGCGCCGCATCGTCGCTGCGCGCGATGCCGGTACCGCCAGGAAGTGTCTGTGCGTGTGTTGTGTGTGTGTTGTGTGTGTTGTGTGTTGTGTGTGTGTGTGTGTGCGTGTGTGTGTGTGTGTGTGTCTGTCTGTGTGTGTGTGCGTCCGTTTTCGATTGACATCCTGATGCGCCCCGCCGTCCGATGCGCCCGGTCAGCCGATGCACAAACAGAGTGTGGTCGCTGCGCCCCGTCGTCCAGAAAGCCCGGCGCCGATGCTTCGTCTCCGCCGGGGGGGGGGGAGCGGAAGCCCCCCAACCCGTGCAGGCTGCTCTCCCCCTCCTCCTCCTCCTCCTCCTCCTCCTCTTCCTCCTCCTCCTCCTCCTCCTCCTCCTCCTCCTCCTCCTCCTCCTCCTCCTCCTCCTAGCGACACCGGAGGTGCAGGCAGGACGCTGGAACACGGACGGGTTGGGGCTCTTAGGAGGGGCGCTGGTCTTCTCGGGCCGCGGCCGAGAGCTATAGGTCGGGGAGAGCCCGCTCGTGGCCGGGGCTCGCCGTGGCCAGAAGAGGCCTGGTAGTTCCTCGCTCCGCGCTCCTGATGGCAGCACGGTGGCGCTGATCAGTAAGTCTGGGGTCATGGGAGGTGGGTGCGTGACTCTGTCGGGGGAGCGTAAGACCCGGGTTTGCCAGGACTCGGGTTCGCCATCGTTTTTTGACGACCGCGCCTCGGATTTTGACGAGGAGGAGTTTCGTGGGATGTCTGCAGCGGGAGGCCTCGTCAAAATGCAGGCTCGGCCTCGTCATTTTTTTGACGACCTCGTCGGGGATGTCCGAGTCCTCCGTACCCGGGTCTTACGTCTCCCCGACTCTGGGGTGTGGGAGCACTTTCCCAGAGCAGCGATCCGCGCAGAGGATGGTCCTGTCCATTGGTTTTGCGCTCTGCCTGCCGCCCCCCTATCCTCTCGTCTTTGGCGTCGGTCCTCACCCCCTTCCGCTGAACACTTCCCAACTCGGCTGCGCTTGCCTTCACACTTGCGCTCCCGCACCTGCCCCGAGTCTCGTCGCGGAGCATCCGTGCGCTTTGCTTGGGCATGTCGTGTGCGTCAGAGGTGGGGGCGCGATCGCGTGCGCGCGTGCGCGCGTTCACTTTCGCGCTGCACTCCTCTTGCACCGCGCACCGCTCACCTCCACTTGGTGCCTCTCCCCTCCTTTTTTCTCCTCTCCGCCTCCTCTCCCCCTCCCTTTCCCCTCCTGTCCTTCTTCCTCTCCCCTCCTCTCTCCCTCTCCTCTCCCTCTCCCCTCCTCTCTCCTCGCCCTCCTCTCCTCTCCCTCATTCTATGGGCGAATCCCTGGCCCCCCCGCCGCGGGAGGTGGCCCGGCCGCGCGCCCTCTCCCGCCCGACTGCCCATACGCCGCGCTGCCGCTCCGCGCGGCCGCAGTGCCGAAAGCTGTGTGTGCGTGTGCGTGTGCGTGTGCGTGTGCTTGTGCGTGTGCGTGTGTGCTTGTGTGTGTGCGTGTGTGTGTGTGTGTGTGCGTGTGTGTGTGTGTGTGTGTGTGTGTCTGTGTGTGTCTGTGTGCGTGTGCGTGTGCGTGTGCGTTTGCTTGTGCGTGTGCGTGTGCGTGTGCGTGTGCGTGCGTGTGCGTGTGCTTGTGCGTGTGCGTGTGCGTGTGTGTGTGTGTGCGTGTGTGTGTCTGTGTGTGTGTCTGTGTGCGTGTGCGTGTGCGTGTGCGTGTGCGTGTGCGTGTGCGTGTGCGTGTGCGTGTGCGTGTGCGTGTGCGTGTGCGTGTGCGTGTGCGTGTGCGTGTGCGTGTGCGTGTGCGTGTGCTTGTGCGTGTGCGTGTGCTTGTGCGTGTGCGTGTGCGTGTGCGTGTGCGTGTGCGTGTGCGTGTGCGTGTGCGTGTGCGTGTGCGTGTGCGTGTGCGTGTGCGTGTGCGTGTGCGTGTGCGTGTGCGTGTGCGTCTGCGTGTGCTTGTGCGTGTGCGTGTGCGTGTGCGTGTGCGTGTGCGTGTGCGTGTGCGTGTGCGTGTGCGTGTGCGTGTGCGTGTGCGTGTGCGTGTGCGTGTGCGTGTGCGTGTGCGTGTGCGTGTGCGTGTGCGTGTGCGTGTGCGTGTGCGTTTGCGTGTGCGTGTGCGTGTGCGTGTGCGTGTGCGTGTGCGTGTGCGTGTGCGTGTGCGTGTGCGTGTGCGTGTGCGTGTGCGTGTGCGTGTGCGTGTGCGTGTGCGTTGTGCGTGTGCGTGTGCGCGTGCGTGTGCGTGTGCGCGTGCGCGTGCGTGTGCGCGTGCGTGTGCGTGTGCGTGTGCGTGTGCGTGTGCGTGTGCGTGTGCGTGTGCGTGTGCGTGTGCGTGTGCGT